GAGGTAAATTCTTAATCCCTTGAGTCTCATGCCAACCCATTTGATAGTGACTTATAATTAATATGTTTCATATTGCTCAATCATGTCTAGAAGATGGATTGCAGGGTGGAGTGGGAGAGGTGCCTTCCGGTCCATTCCAATGAAATGTTTATGCGTTATCACAAAACAAGAAGTTCTGCAAGGTAAAGGGGTTAGCAATGCCTGGCTTCCTGTGGACAGATGCCAGGTGGAGGAAATAAACAGATATAGTTCCTATTGGTTACGAATGCCCTAAAAAAAAAAAAAAAAAAAGTGTTTCCTATCATGCTGCCAAGACAATGCCAGCTGCTTACACCATAAACTCAGGAGGAAAAGAAAAAGGGAGGCTGCATGGTGTCTGGGGAGTAAAAAATAAAGATGCTTATTCCAGTTTTGTTGATAAATTATAAACTCCTACAGCTAAGTTAAGTGGCAGCCCTGGTTTTAAGACAAATGGAAGTCTAGCCAATTAAATGAAACCTGACAATAAAATGCTATTCCCTAATATTTCGTGAGTAGCTACGAGCAGGACAACTCTTGGAGACATTCAGTGTGGAGATCACAACTGAAAGGCACCCAACCTTGCCTTCTTTCCTTTTCTTATCATGAACTTTGATGGCATGTTAACAGTTTTAATCAATTGCCAATAGTTTAAAATTTGAAAGACTTCACATAAAAACCCAGATCTCTGGTATATCTTAAAAGTGAAAAAAATAAGCAAACATCTTCCTCTATCAACCACTCAGCTCCCCAGAGTTGGTCCCCACTATTTCCATGGTTCCCTGAGGCTGTAGCCAAGTGTTAGCTGGCACTAATCCTTGAAATGACATTTTGTTACATGGCTGATCCCTGGGAGGCCTTCGGTGCCTGTCCCCTGACTCGGGCAACCCCATTACCTCACAGATAAAGACACGAAGGCAAAACCTCACCCTGCTCACCCCTGCCTGCAGGCAGGGTCCCAATGCTACGACAGGCCAAGCCATTTGCAGAAGGTCCCAGCGAACTGCCCCTGCCAGTTCCCACAAGTGATCTTATGACCCAGCCACCCTCACCACTCAGGGTAGAGGATCTGTTCTTCTGTCTCACCTGCCCTTCCCTGGATCAGAGTCTCACTCATTCTCTCCAACAGATGAGTTACACCCTCACTCCCAGGCAGAGAAGTGAACACACAGCATGTTGTATCTACTTAAAAAATTATTTTATTAAGGTATTATATGTGTACATATCTTACCATTGCCCTCCCCCCTCCCCCACTTCTTTATATACCCTCCCCCCCACCCCCCGAGTTTTGCGTCCATTGGTTATGCTTATATGCGTGCATACACATCCTTCTGTTGGTCTCTTACCTTCTCCACCTATCCCTAACCTTCCCACTGTAATTTGACATTCTGTTTATGCTTTACTATCTCTGTATCTATATTTTTGTTCAACAGTTTATAATGATCTTTGTTAACCATAAATGAGTGAGATTATGTGGTGTTTTTCTTTCATTGATTGGCTTATTTCACTTAGCATAATGTTCTCCAATTTCATGCAGGTTGCTGCAAATGGTAAGAATTCCTTCTTCTTTATGGCAGCGTAGTATTCCATTGTGTAGATGTACCATAGTTTTCTGATGGGCACCTCGGCTGTTTCCAAATCTTAGTTATTGTAAACGTTGTATCTATTTTTAGCAGCAGACTGTAGAGTCCTCAAGGGGAAGATCAATGTTAAAGTCCCATTTTTTATGTCACCAGTGCTTACCCAGTGCGATGACACAGAATGGACTCGATATATCTGGGCTTCAGAGAGGGAAAATGACGTGTCCTCAGATACCTTTGTAATTGTACTCAGAGTTGGAAGAAATAAACAGGTTCAAGCATGTGTCCAACCCACAAGGCACACTCAGACTGATGACCATCAGGTGACACAGAAAACCTTATCTCAGTGGCAAACGCAGTTCTCAACAGGCCTTGTAAGGATTGCCAGATCAGTGTGGCTTGTGAAATGTCAGAAGGACCTCAACGATCTGATATCTTCCCTATCAGACTGCCAAGGTGCCAAAAAGTCCGCTATGTAAACTTGTTTGCGTGAAGACCTTTTCTGTTACAATAGAACATTCCTCTCTCTCCTCCTCCTCCAAAGCCCAGTCTCTTAGGCAAGTCTCAGAGGTTAGCACAGCTTCAGTTAAAGTATCAACTACTTTTCTATCTGATGCATTTATCCTGGAGTATCTGGGTATGTAATAATGTAAAAGTTCCAGTAGACGGGACAGGCCTGGATGTCTGAAGCAAGAGATGGGGAGGCAGTATGCACAGTGGCTAAGTGCAAGGCCCACTGGAACCAAGATGCCTTGGTTCAGGTCTGCTACCTGCTAGGTGAGTGCCTTCTGGCTAGTTACCTACCTACATTTCTTCAATTACAATAGTAAGAGATATTGATGGACAGGAGGAACTGCCTCCACAGGGCATTGGAGAATTAAATATATAAATGGGCATTCCAGTGCCTGACATAGAGTGAGCCATATCAGTGTTTGCTTCTGTCATGAGGAGAGGATGGCATGAGATGTAGCCCTAAAGGGGCTGCTCCAGTTTTACTCCCTGCTGTCTCCTCTCCCAATTTACAGATGAAGGATAACAAGGCCTGGAGCGGATGAGCAGCTTGCAGAAGGCTACAAAGACCGTGCAACCCTAGCCGGTTTGGTTCAGTGGATAGAGTGTTGGCCTGCAGACTGAAAGATTGAAAGGTCCCAGGTTCGATTCTGGTCAAGGGCATGTGCCTTGGTTGTGGGCACATCCCCAGTGGGAGGTGTGCATGAGGCAGCTGATTGATGCTTCTAACTCGTTATCCCTCTCCCTTTCTCCCTGTAAAAAAAAAAAAAAATCAATAAAATATATTTTAAAATAATAATAATAATAATAATAATAATAATAAAAGACCAGTGCGGTGGCAGAGCTAGGGCTTCCTATCTAGAGGTCTCCCGCCCGCCACGCCTCCCAAAGTAACTTACTCAGGTTAAGGGGAGGCAGTATGCACAGAGGAAGGTAGGGGAGACCAAGAGAAAGCAAGAGCCAGCTCCTCCTGGGGACAATGGGACCAGAGCCTTAGGAACTTCTCCCCAGAGGCAATTCCAAGTGCCAGTTCTCCGGGGTGGAGAGGGGATGGGGTGGTGGGAGATGGGTGTGGGTGGGGCGGAGGGGGGAGGGGGAAGGGGCGGGGGGAGGGAGGGAATCCTCCAGGTCTGAGCCAAGCCGAAATCGGACAACACACACACACACACACATACACACACACACACACACACACACACACACACACACACACGCCCCTGAGCCTGGGCGTACCCCGGCCTCTGGCACCGCGCGGCGACTTGCTGCCCCGCTGGGAGGACGAGTCAGCAGCGGGGCGGACGGGAAAAGTGACACCATCGGGCCGAGGCTCTCTCCGCGCCAGCCTCCCACGCAGCGCGGGCGGCCCGGGCCCTCGCGGAGGAGCGTGCAGGAGCTGAGCGGCGGGGGGCTGGGAGGATGGGGAGAGGGGGGCGCCCGGCTCTGCACCCCAGCCCGAGGCCTGGGCGCCGGCTCCGTGGGGAGGAACGCGGCGCCCCGCGGCTGTGGGCCGGCCCCTAGGACGGCCGCCGCCCCCCGGAGGAGGATGACGGAGCCTGGAAAGACTTTCTCCAAATATGGGCCCCGCGGCCGCCGGAACCTCCGCCCGGGCCGCCGGCAGGGGGCGGCGGGAGCCAGCGGCGGGCGCGCCGGGCTCGGTCCTGGCCCTCTCCCCGCGCGCCTGCCGGGCAGCTCCCTCCGCCGGGCGGGATGCGGGGCGGGAGGGCTGCGGAGAGAAAAAGGGAGGCGCGGGGCGACCTCTTCAAGTGGTCTTTGGCGGCATCCTAAGCCGTCCTGCTCCCTGAGGCGCTGCGGCGAGGCTGGGGGCGCGGGAGTCCCGGGCACCCGGCCGCCCCGGGCTGTGGTTCTCGGTGTGTGGCCCCCACCAGCCGCCGCGCCAGGACCTAGGGACCCGTTAGGATGGCAACTAGTAAGAAATCCTGGGATGGGGCCCGGCAATCATCCCATCACCCCCCTCTCCAGGGGATTGATTCTCAGATGCATACGTTTGGAAACTACTGGTTCAGGGCTAGGACGCCGGGGGCACCAGGTTTAAGGTGATGATCCTTCTCAGTCGCAGCCAGACAGTGAACCCTTCTCTTGGGTGACAGTGAACCCTTCTCTTGGGTGACAGTGAACCCTTCTCTGGGATGACCTAAAACTCCCGGGCAGCCGGGGTGAGCGGCGCCCCCAGCGCTCAGCTCCAAGCCAGGGGCTGCGGAGGACAAGCAGCTCCTTCTCCGCGCCCTGCAGCCCAGGGAGACAAGGCGGCCCCTCATTCCCTCGCGGGGCACTCCTACAGGGAGGGGCGGAGGACACGGAGCAGCATCAGCGCAGAAGCAGCACCTACTCAGACACAGTAGCACACGTCCCCTCCATTCGGTGAGCGAGAACTGCTCTGCAGAGGAGACGAGAAGGCGACCACACGTCTGGGGCTCCCGGATGGTCCCTGAGCTGGACAAGAGGACCTGCTGCTCCGCTCGCTGCCGCCCTGGTTTACCAGCCGACGCACCGGGATACCTATGGGAAGGCTGGGCACCTAGGTTCCTGGGGTCCCGGCCCTGTTTGCTACCGCTCCCCAATCCCCCTCCCACAGCCCAGGCCCTGCTTAACACAGGCGGCTGGCTGTATGTAAGGTGAGCTAGGTTTCTCCTGTGGTTGAAAATCCTCCTTCAAATCCCCCAGTTAAAGAGGAAACAAACACACACACACACACACACACACACACACACACACACACACCCTTGTTAGAAAACTTGATTTTTAAAGGAATCCCTGGAACGGTGTGTGTTTTGAGTGCAAAGCCACTCGCTGCAAAGCAGCAGACCGAGCCTCCTCTTTGCCCGGCCCCCCACCCCCACTTCCATACAGGAACAAGGTATATGCCCAGGCCAGTTGGATCATCCGCTGAAATTTTATTTTAAACCATGACAGACGGATTGCGTGGAAAACAAGGGATTCCAAAGAATTTCCTGCTCTGGGAACAGAAGTTAAGTCTATATTTAACAACATCTGAAGCTGTCAAGTATGCTTTGTGGTTGGATAACAGGCAGAAAAATGTTAAAAACGCAGGCTACTGCTATACCCAAATATGGAAATATTGTTACGTCTGGTGTCTGATTCACCATCTGGAAATACTTACAACCATGAAGTCAAATAGAAAAAGACACCACAACAGAAGCCAGGGACACTCCTCTGTGTCCATTCTCTTTCCACCCACGTCCCCCACCCTGCACCGCCCCTGCTCACTCTGGTCCCAGGCACTTCATTAAGAAGAAAACAGCAATAAAACTCTAACACAGGAAAAACCACTTTCCTAAACAATAATTGATGGATGGGCCTTGGGTACAATGTAGGGCCCAGACGTTCCTCACTGTATTTGCATAACAATCTATTGTCGCGAAGAGACACACCCCTCCAATAAAGCCTCAGAGATCCGGCTTCCCCCAGCAAAAGCCTCTGAGCCTTCTGAGAAGGCACTTCTGAATGAATGAAACTTAACTCCTCCCTGGTAGTTCTCCTCACTGGAGATTGTTTTCATTGCAATCGCTTCCCATGTGCGGTTCAGTCACAGAACAGTCAGCACTGAGGGGGAAAAAAGGCCTTCTTCAGCAAGACTGTCCAATTCCATTAAAATTAAAGAGGACAAAAGAGCAAATGAGACAGGCACCTCTCCTAAAGCACATATACAAGGGAGACTGGCATAATCTCTTGTACATGTTTTTATTAAAATTGCACAAAGAAGATAATTTAGGAACTTTGAGGGAAAGTTTATCCATCCCACTAACGATGTGGATGCTGTTAAATAGTTGCTTCTGCCAAGCGCGTTGCAGGTAAGTAGGGTCTTTAAATCTGCTAACATTTTAATTACAGAGTATCCCACCCTAAACTCTTATTTCTCTGTGCTTGGAGAACATTGCAATTCTCTTGCGACCGGAGGTTTCTTAGTGGTTCCAAGGAAAGGAAATTTAAAAATCCCGCACGACTTTCGGCTTTCAGGGGTCTGCTTTTTCCAGGGATCCACTGGGCACCATGGTAGTGGAATCAACACCTGTGTATGCCTTTGCAGCATACACAGGTGTTGATCTCAGTGTAAATCACTCCACGGCGGTCCCCTCTGCTTGGCTGGCTGCTCCGTGTGCACCGCCACCCGCCCGCGGAGGGAGGGAGGCTGGCAGCGCCTGCCCAGGCTCCCGCATCCGCGAGGAAGTGTGCGCCAGCCTCCCGGAGAACTCCCAGGCTTCACTTCCTCTCAGACTGCAACCCCAGGCAGCGGGCTGGAACTGAAGTAGTGGGAACCTCCAAAAACAAACAAGGACGACAGACCGAAAAAGGGAGGGCAGGACGGGGGAGAGGGGGCGCGGAAGAGGGTAGACCTCTGCTTGGAAAATCGCCAGGCGTGGGAGAGAGCAGTGATTCCCACCCCACCCCCACCCTCTCATTCATAAATGACACTGCGGGGATTAATTTGCAATGCACTTCACGTTGCTAATAAACACCATGCCGAAGCTCTGGGGCTTGACCCGAGCATGCTACCAAGTCCACAAGTGGTTGCCTGGCTCAAAGATATACCCCCCTCCCCCTTCCCCTTCGCCTCTCTCCGCAGATAACTTGACTCTCACCTTCGCTATAAACAAGCAAACAGCTCACCGCCTCCCGGGTGAGGGTTTCCAAGGCTGCCCGGTCAACTCGGCATCACCAAACAAAACGACTTTTGTTCCTCCCTCTCAGGTCCTCCTACCCTCCCGGTCCAGACAAAGTTCTGAACTCTTTTCTCCCCCCCGCCCCCCCTCCAACCCCTACCACCCCCCATCTGTCCACCACCATCACGCCAAAAAGATCCCTCCCCTATAGACACGTCGTTATTTAAAGTGGAAAAACGGGTGGAAAAACGGAAGATTGTTTGCTTGGGTCCCGGACCAAAAAAAAAAAAAAAAAAAAAAAAAAAAAAAAAAAGGTGCAACGGGGCCAGGGGAGGCGCTTGGCAGCGGCCCGCGCCAGCGCGCATTCCTGAGATGTTTGAGAATTCTGGAGGCACAGACAGGGCCGACGTCACTGCAGCACGCGGCGCCGCCGCCGGCCCGTATAAAGGGCGGGCTCTGCGCGCCGGGGCAGACCGCGAGCGGGAGCCACCCGAAGCATCATCCCCGGCCCTCCGCTGCTCCCTGGCCCGGACCTCGGCAGAAGGACCTCCGCAGCCCCTCGCCGCCCGGCCCTCCTCTCCGTGCCGCCCGGCCCGCCGCACCGATCGCCCGGCCCAGCCGCCGCCGTCCGTCCTCCCATCCGTCCGCTGCGCCCGGAGTGCCCGCGTCTTTGCTTCCGCGCTCACTCTCCGGGACCCCTGCGCGCCACCATGAGCCCCCGCACGGCCAGGACGCTCGTCGCCGCCGTCACCCTCCTCCAGCTCGCCCGGTTGGTGAGTTCTTCTGCCTCCGCTGCCCCGTCCGCTTCCACAGCCCCGCGTCCTCTCCCCACGTTGCCCACGGCACGGAAAAAAGTAAACTAAAGAGTTCGGGGACCTTTCGGGAGCCTCTTTCTTTACGGTCCCCCTTTAAAGAGGTGTCTGGGGCCTCCTGGCCGACGCAGCCCTGCCCGGGGTGCCCCAATCGGAGACCCCCCCTCTCCCATCCCCGTCCCTTCCCCTGGGCTCCTCTCCTGCTCACTGCGCCGAGCCTCACGCGAGTCTTCTTCTCCCCCCGCCAGGCGCTCTCCTGCCCCGCCGCCTGCGACTGCCCCCTGGAGGCGCCCAAGTGCGCCCCTGGAGTCGGGCTGGTCCGGGATGGCTGTGGCTGCTGTAAGGTCTGCGCCAAGCAGCTCAACGAGGACTGCAGCAAGACGCAGCCCTGCGACCACACCAAGGGGCTGGAATGCAACTTCGGCGCCAGCCCCACCGCTCTGAAGGGGATCTGCAGAGGTAAGAGGCTTGTGGTTTGGCCCCTTTAAAAAAAATAATAGTCCCCGTAGTCCAGGAGTTTAGTAATTTTGAGACCATGTATGGTGATGCTTTGTTGTTGGTAGCTTGGCAGAAAGGCACATGATTTCAGCAGTCTGGAATGCAATTCAGTGTGTCTGGGCCCAGCGAAAAGCGCATACGGAAAAGTGATTCCTGACTAACTTATTGTTCTGGGCTGCAGTCTCTGGGGAGCTTGCAGGGAACTTTACCATAAATTGAATTTAGCAGCAGAAATATGTATGAGTTTCAGGCGGCCGTGGTGCGGAATCTTAACTTGATCCTCTTCTCCCTTTCTCTCCTGGTGCTCTTTGCAGCTCAGTCGGAGGGCAGACCCTGTGAATACAACTCCAGGATCTACCAGAACGGGGAGAGTTTCCAGCCCAACTGTAAGCACCAGTGCACATGTATCGACGGCGCCGTGGGCTGCATTCCTCTGTGCCCCCAAGAACTTTCTCTCCCCAACCTGGGCTGTCCCAACCCCCGGCTGGTCAAAGTGAACGGGCAGTGCTGTGAGGAGTGGATCTGTGACGAGGACGGTGCCAAGGACCCCATGGAGGACAGGGACGACCTCTTGGGCAAGGGGCCCACATTCGATGCCTCCGAGGTGGAGTTAACAAGAAAAAACGAGTTAATCGCGTTTGGAAAAGGCGGCTTCCCGAAGCGGCTCCCTGGTAAGTGAAAACGGAGCCCCTAAGGCCTGGTGAAGCTTTATAGAAATGAGGACTTGGATCTGTTTGTTGTCAGCACGCCTCTGAGAAAGTCTTCCCTCTTGTTTGCCTCTCTAGCTTTTGGACAGGGCCCTCGCATCCTGTTCAACCCTTCTCTGCACGGCCAGAAGTGTATCGTCCAAACAACTTCATGGTCCCAGTGCTCCAAGACCTGCGGAACTGGTATCTCCACACGCGTTACCAATGACAACCCAGAATGCCGCCTGGTGAAAGAAACCCGGATCTGTGAGGTGCGGCCTTGTGGACAGCCCCTGTACAGCAGCCTGAAAGTAAGTTTCTGCCTGGCGGGTACCTGTTGCTGGGCAGCTAGCTGGGTGAGATGGGGGCCTGCCTTCCAGGAAAGAGAACCCTTGCCCCTAACGTTCCTTCTCTCGTCTTTCTTACAGAAGGGCAAGAAATGCAGCAAAACCAAGAAATCCCCAGAGCCGGTCAAGTTTACTTACGCCGGATGTTCCAGTGTGAAGAAATACCGGCCCAAGTACTGCGGCTCCTGTGTGGACGGCCGCTGCTGCACGCCCCTGCAGACCCGGACGGTGAAGATGCGCTTCCGCTGTGAGGACGGGGAGATGTTCTCCAAGAACGTCATGATGATCCAGTCCTGCAAGTGCAACTACAACTGCCCGCATGCCAGTGAGGCCTCGTTTCCCTTCTACCGGCTGTTCAATGACATCCACAAATTCAGGGACTAGACGCCACCCGGGTGTCCAGCACCAGGGTGGACAGGACGGACGGGGAGAAGAGTGCCGGAATCGCGGAGACATGGGTGGGGGCGGTGGGGGTGAAGGGACTCATTGTAGAAGGGATGCATTGCTCACACATGAGTAGTATTAAGGTGTTTTGAAACGGCCAGGTGTGCTGGTGCAGATGGACTCTGATGCGGCTGCCATTGGAGAATACTTTGCTTCATAATACTGGAGCACACGTTACTGCTTCATTTTGGAGCTTGTGGTGTTGATGACGTTCTGTTTTCTGTTTGTAAATTATTTGGTAAGCGTATTTTTTTTTCCTCTAGGCTTTTTTTTCCTTTCGGTTCTGCAATTGTAAGATAGTGAGATTAGTGGGACAGGGAAAGCCTTCATCCTCTGACAGAAGTAACCGGGAGGGAGGGGTTTCCTTCTTTCCCAAAGGGGACACTCTGTGAGTGTCTGTGAGAGGCAGCTATCTGCACTCTAAACTGCAAACAGAAATCAGGTGTTTTTAAAATTGAATGTTTTTATTTATCAAAAATGTAGCTTCTGGGGAGGGTGGGGAAATGTAATACTGGAATAATTTGTAAATGATTTTAATTTTATATTCAGTGAAAAGAATTTATTTATGGAATTAATCATTTAATAAAGAAATATTTACCTAATATCTGCGTGTATGGCATTCCATATTTTTAGAGGTTGGCCACAGTCATTGGAAGCAATCTAGATTATCCATTCAATCATTCAAACAGGATTTATTGAGCGTCTGCTTTGTGCCAGGATCTGGGTTAGGTGCTTGGGATAGAACAGGAAAATGACCTACATAAATAAAACAATGACTGCTTTTATATCTTCAGTGAGAAAGATGGTTGCATTTAAAATAATCTGCATTAAAAAAAAAAAACAACATGTATTGAACACCAGGTATGGTAAGAAGCACAAGGAGGAATCCAAAGCCAAGTTTGTGATTTAAATAATAATGCATTGTTTTTATAAGAAATCAAAGCCCAGTGGTCTCCCTCACCCAGTCACTGTGAGATGGATATAGTAATTTATCATTTTAATCACCAGGTTATTGTGCATATCACTTCAGGAGAGAGAAACTTTAATGAAAGCAGTCCGTAGCTTGCACATGTCTTCATTTGGATAAGGTTAAGTATGGTTAGATAATGTCTTATAAAAGATGGCTTGTTTATAACTTCATATTTTACCAATATTGTTTCAAAAACTACTTAAAAATCTGCCCTCAGTTGGGATCAGAGGGGGGGGACCTTTGAGTCTATAGGAGTCAGTTTGTTTTCATTGAATAAGCCCGAAGCAATGACTTGTGCTAATCCTAATAAACTGGTGATTAGGTAAACATGCTGCTAAATGCAAAGGAATGCGAGGAATTTCAAGTACTTTTCCACTAGCATGAGGACCAAGCTACCCCATCCCCCTTTCCTTTTTATAATATACATTATATTGATGGAGGCAGAAGCAGGTAGAGTTGGCCATCTAGAAGGTCAAAGGCTAGATGTAGAGCTTTCCTGAAAGAAAATGACCTGAACCATAGGTCTAGGAGAGGCCGAGAAGGTTGTGTCAATGTTTGTGAAAATGTTGGTAGCCTGTTTTAGAAGAACCTACATCTTGAGAAAGCGCTGACAATAAACCTTTTATAGAGAGGAGTTTTCCTTTCATCGACCCTCTTGGCTCCTGTTCAAATCCACAGTGAAATATTTCAGTCTGCACTTGGTTAAGAGAGTACTTGAATTTTTAGGCAATAAGAGAAAGTGCTTTAAAAGAGGAGGTGGAGGACAGTTCCTGGGGTCCTACAATGGTGATTTTTCAAAATAGTTTTTTTGATGCTTCAATGAAGACCTACAGAAAAGCAATGCCTAAGCATTGGTTTTTAAAGCCTTACCGAAATGCATAAAGGTTAGCATAAATGTGTTAGTAAAATTTATGGGCAAAGGCCTTCCCTCTTCTGATTTTGACAATGTCTCTCTTGCCAGAAATATTATAATCTGTGCCTATGTGTAGCCAGTGTTTCTTGCCTGAGGCATTCAAATGTAAGGTATTTGGGAATTTAAACACCACCTGGTTCAGTCTTGGATGCAGTTAAACTTGTCAGTGCAATATAATATGTGAAACATAATAAAGGTGTGAGGTTTTTGAGGTGCAGTCGTGTTGAACAGACATCTGAATTCATAGATAAGATTTACAGATTCTCAGGCGCCAATCCTGAGTTATTTTCCTCCAACACTAGTGCCTAGCAAAGTACTTCATACACAGAGATCAAGGAATGATAAATTATGGATCTATTAAGTGTGTAAGGAGGTGATATCTGTCCAAATAAGCTCAAATGTGAAACAAAATCTAACATGGGAAAACTGGATCGGTGGGTCATTAATCTTATTGTAATGAACACAAGAAGAAGAATGCTTAACCACCTATTCCATTTAAATAGGATTGCTCAATTAATTTAAAAGAAAAAGTGAATGATGCAAATTATGTCTATTTTATTTGGCTATAGAAAAAAGTGGAGAAAATCAAAGTAGTTGAGAATGAAATTATGTGATTTAGAACATACAGCTTTAATCTAGGTCCAGCATGGAGCTCTACCTCCTGCAAATATTGAGAAAACAAAATAAAAACCTGTGCATCTGCATATGCAATGGCAGTTACACATATAAACATTCATCGTAACACCCCTCCGCACACAGCGAAGATGGTGTGTTGTTCTCATTTTCCAATCCAAAAGACCCTGTGGGTTTCTGTTTGTGTGTTTTGTTTGTTTGTTTGTTGATTTGGTGTTGTTTTTTTGTTGTTGTTGGTTTTTTTTATTTTTATAAAGATGTAAGAACTTATCTCTATAATAGTTTAAAAATAACCTCAGAGTCTTAGGAATTCAGTGGATTTTAAGAAATATTCAATTGGACATTTAGAAGTATGGTAAGTAGTCAAACCATGAAGATTCTCACATAAATGCGTGTGCTATCTACTCCACAAAGAGGTGTGACTGGGTCAAAATTAGCAAAGCATATTTCAGTTATTTTTCCAATAGAGAGACCAGACTTGATGTGTTCACAACCTTTTTTCCTGCCATCTGGCAGTATTTGAAAGTCAGCTGAGCAAGGGTGCAGGAGGGCCACAGTACAGAACAAAGCCGTGTTCGGCTCAGAGGGGCAGGTGATGCAGTGGAAAGAATCCCAGATTGGAATCCAAAGACACATCTTTTCCCACCAGCTCCGCCATTAATTCACTGGGTGACTCTGGGCAGTTTCTGGGTCATCTCGTCCTCCCCTGTTTTAAAATGGAACAATAGCCCCCAGCATTTTTGCCACTCAAAGCCTTATTTTTTCATTTACTCTCTATGGTGCATTGATTCCCACACCTTGAAAACTTCATCTCTGAAAACAATTGAATGTATGAAGTGAAACTGCTCAGGCCTTTCTGTGGGCAAAAGAACTCATCTCTATAAAGCCTCTGAAAATGTAATGTCGGTAGCCCCCTTTACTTTCTAGCTCACCCCTAGTTATAGGACAATGGTGGCAATCCCTGGACCTCACAGTCAGTAGGTCCATACGTTCATCTCCCTGTACAGCCCTGATAGCTCCTGTCCTTACAGGAGCCAGAGTGAGCCTTTAAAAATGTAAATCTGAACATGTCCATCAGAGCTTAAAGGCTCCGTGGCTTCCATTGCTTTGGGAATAAATTCAGCTCCTGCCGAAACTGGTTTGGCTCAGTGGATAGAGAGTCAGCCTGCAGACTGAAAGGTCCCAGGTTAGATTCCGGTCAAGGGCATGTACTTGGTTGTAGGCACATCCCCAGTGGGGGGTGTGCAGGAGGCAGCTGATCGATGATTCTTTCTCATTGACGTTTCTAACTCTCTATCCCTCTCTCTTCCTCTCTGTAAAAAAATCAATAAAATATATTTAAAAAACAAACACACACACACACACACAAAACAAAAAAACAACAACATTCAGCTCCTTGCTTGGCACACAGGTCCTGAACTCTCCCTGCTTCTTACCCCTCACCCTCACTCTCTATACTCTCACTTGCCCTTTCCTCTTTGAAATAAGCCAAGTGAATCACTCCTTAGGGACTTTGCTCTGCCCCCAGGGTCCTCCTATTTGATCTAAACTTCTTATCAGGCAGGTCTCAGCATAACTGCTACTCTCTCAGTGACCTTCCTTCACCACCCCATCTGAAGTAGTTCATTACATTAAGCAGTTTTATTTACAGCATGGCATTTAGCACTACCTGATGGTTTCTTGTTCATTTATGCCTGTCCATCTATAATCCTATTTAATAAAAGCATAATATGCAAATTGACCATCACTCCAACACACAAGATGGCTGCCCTCGTGTGGTCAAAGATGGCTGCTCCCATGTGGACACAAGATGGCTGCCACAAGATGGCCAGCAGGGAAGGGCAGTTGAGAGGGACCAGGCCTGCAAGGGAGAGCAGTTGAGAGGGATCAGGTCTGCAAGGGAGAGCAGTTGAGGGCAATCAAGCCTTCAGGAGAGGGCAGTTAGGGGTGACCAGGCTGGCAGAGAAGGGAAGTTGGGGGCAAACAGGCTGGCAGGGGAGCAGTTATCCATCAATCAGATTGGCAGGGGAGTGGTTAGGGGGTGATCAGACTGGCAGGCAGAAGTGATTAGGGGAAATCAGGAAGGCAGGCAGGTGAGCAGTTGGGAGTTAGCAGTCTTGGATTGTGAGAGGGATCCCAGATTGGAAAGGGGTCAGGTTGAGCTGAGGGACACCCCTCTCCCTGCATGAATTTCGTGCACTGCATCTCTAGTAACCTCTATAAAAGCAGAAAGTTTTGTCTGCTTTTTCACCAGTATAAAAGCATCACTTGACACTGCCTGGCATAAACTAAATGCTCATTGATATAGAATTTATGTTGTCTTAACTGAAACTAAACTAGAAGACACACACACACTCCCTCATTGGCACAAAGCCCCCTGGGGTTTTTCTCTAGTTTGTTAGCTTTTCATTCATTCTTTCATTCATACATCTATTCACTAAACACTTATGGACACCATTATATTTCAGGCATGGTGCTATGCAGTAGTTGATAAAGCATAATTCCTTTACTTTGTGGTGTTGAGGGAAATGTACATGTAAGCAAAGTTAGTTAAGGTTAGGTTCATCTGCAAGTAATGGATAACTCAAATAGCAATGCTTAAGTTACAGAGAATTTTGTTTCTCTCTCATGTGAAAACCCAGGTAGGCAGAGCTGGGCTACTGTGGTGCCCCAAGGATTCATGGACCAAACCTGCTATCTTATTGTTCATCATGCACGGTCCCCTTTCCCTGGTTCACCTCATGGCACATGGACTCACCTTGCTGCAAAGGAGGCTGGGAAATGTAGGTTTTTTCCCTGGGTTGCCATGTACTGAGCGCAAAAACAGAGATCCTGACCTAGCCTGTTTACCTCAGTGGTTAGAGCATCTGAAGGGTCGAGGATTATATTCCAGGCAAGGGCACATACCTCAGTAGTTGCAGGCTCAATCCCCTGTCCTGGTTATGGCATGTGCAGGAGGCAACCAATCATATGTCTCCCTTACATTGATGTTCCTCTCTCTCTCTCTCTCTCTCTCTCTCTCTCTCTCTCTCTCTCTCTCTCTCTCTCTCTCTCTCTCTCTCTCTCTCTCTCTCTCTCTCTCTCTCTCTCTCTCTCTCTCTCTCTCTCTCTCTCTCTCTCTCTCTCTCTCTCTCTCTCTCTCTCTCTCTCTCTCTCTCTCTCTCTGTTTTTCACACTTCCTTCTACTCTCTTTACAAAAAAAAAAAAATAATAATAATAATAAAAAAATGGAAAAAATGTCCTTGGGAGAGAATTAACAACACCAACAACAAAAACACACACCTGTTACTATATAAGGGAGAAATAGTGGTTGGTACTGCATAGCCCAAATATGTAAGTATAATAAGGCACAGAAGAGACTTTACGAACAGCCTGAGGCTAAGATCAGAAAGTTCTTCCTGCGGGAGTTATCTCAGTTCTGTTTGGGAAGATAAGCAGGTTGGAAACTATTCAAAAGCCTTGGTGCTGAAGTTAAAATTTTCTACAATTAGTGAGACCTTCCTCGTCTCAGCCATAAAGAGAAATCAAAGATACCTGCACCGCCTGGGTTTAGAACTTAGCGGCTATTCATATTTTAAACAGTTTGTATTTTTGCTTTGGGTTCAGAAGTATCATGAAAACGGCACCTGTATTGGGGTTCTCTAGGGAAACAGAACCAACAGATTATGTATAAAATTAAAAAATA